TAATAAATTCTTCAGATAAATATTATATGTGAACAATATGAAGGGTGCCATGCTTAAGCTCCCTCTGGGCATCATACCAGGAACACTTTTTTTGTGAAAAAAAAGATTTAAGTATGAGGTTAACATTCAGTTGAGTTGACAAAGAGGGTTTTTTAGTGTTCCTGACTCTCTGGGAATTCAGGAAATAATTGAGTTAATGTCAGAGAGCAGGGACCACAATGTGCTAGGCTATTCTTGAGCACTAACATGTTTTCCTAGTATATATTGTGCAGTTTCCACGTGCTCAGTATGACTAATGCATTAGTCACAAGTTACAATACGAGAGACTCAAGAAAAGACAGCTTGTCTCTGGAATGACTTTCTTCCCAAGGTTTAGTTGCCCTCACTCCAACGATTCTCGACCCCTGCCACTGACACTGATTCCATTCCCAGCAGGAGCTACTTCCTGAGTAGTACCTGCTGCTTCTCGAAGCCTTTACTTCAGTAAAAAGCTCCATCTCCATCTTGGGCAGACATTCCCCCCACCAGCTTTCTCATTCCTCTTCCCGTCATCTCTTGTCTGCCCATGGGAAAGTGTATGAGCCCATCTGTTAGGGAATGAGAAAGGGAGACATGAAAAATCAGGTGAGGCTGCTGCAACTTGAGCAGAGCTATTTTAAGCTGTGTGTTTTGTAATGTGCAAAGGCAGGAACCAACCCAAGTATCCATCAATTAGGAACTAGCTAAGCAAACTTTAGCATATGAAAAAATGGAATATATTGCCATGACTGATGACAAATGCAAGATTGTATGGGCAGTGGCTACAGGTGGATCATGGGACTACATCAAACAGTTTAATGTCAAACTGATAAACCCAGAGCACAGACTTGATTACACACAAGGGTTACAACTGAATAAGAATTTTGCAGATACAAAGCTAAGAATTGAAGAAAGGAGGGAAAACAAGATGGGGCGTAGGTAACAGCTGCACCCGCCGCCTCCAGCAACCACATCAAAATTACAACTAAAATACAGAACCACCATCACTCTGAGCCTCCTGAAATCTGGCTGCACAGAAGCCCCACAACCAGGGACCTGAAGAAGCACCGAGACCGGGAGGAGGGGCGGAGACGCGGGCGGATTGGGGCTGAATCACGGAGACTCGGCCGCCGGCCACACCCGGTGCCACAGTTGAAACCAGGAAGGGAATCTCGGCGGCGGAGTTTTCCAGGAGGAGGGAGGGGTCCCAGCCCCAACAGCAGGCCCCCAGCCCAGGGCTCCAGGCCAGGAAGAGACGTCCCCACAACTCAGGGGTGTGAAACCAGCGGGGACTGTCCCTGAGGGTCGAGGAGGCTGCGGGAGCCCCAGCAGCTCCTCTTAAGAGCCCGCGCACGGACTCACTCAGACGCTCCCTCTGAGCCCAGCGCCGGGCAGCAGCCGGAAAGGACCCGGGACACTCGGGGAGGAACTAACCTGCCTGGAATCGGGTGAGAGGTGGAGGGGCGGCTTCCTCCCAGGCAGACGGGCTGGCAGAGGCCATCGCTCCTTTGGTGAACCCTCCCCACACACAGCCCGCAGGCAGGCGCCATATTTGAATCCCCAACACCTGACTCTCACCTTTGGCCCCGCCCCGTGATCCCCGGAGGCCCGGCCCCTCCGCACCTGCAGCTCATCCAGGCCATTTCCAGGGGCTTTTCTATGCCAGTGGCCTCTCGAGCCTCATGCTTAGGACTTTCCTAAAATCTCTCAAACAAGCAACAGCATGCCCCATGAGGCTTGATAAGGGGCCCCAGGCCTGGCACTAGCGGCAGCCTGCATTGGCTCATAGCTTGGCCTCTCCTGGGCTCCTCCAAGCCCAGCACAAGTAGCAGC